GGAAAACTAATTGTTACTATGTTTGGTAATGTGGCAGAACAAGCACTTGGTTGTTCAACAGTTGAATTGATGGGACAATGTTGGAGAGGTATTGCTTAAATTTTTCTTCAAAACTTGATTTTTATTATAATGAGTTATTTAAAAAATAATTGAATTTTTTTATTAATTATGTAAACCTATTCAAAATTTATTTTGTAGGAAAATCGACCATATATTAAAAGTATTGAAGAGAAATTATCAAAAACAATTTGGAAGATTCAAGTTTATGTAGATCCAGAGAAACTAAAAAAGAAAATATTAGCAGTTTAATATCCTCTCTATTGAAACAGTGCAACATGAGGAAAATGCTAAATCGTCATCTTATAATCATAATGATCTCAAACAACTTTTAAAAAACTATGAACGATGTTTATTTATAGATCATGCTATAGATTCTATTAATACTTTTTTTATTATTATATCACAATGTGTAATTATTTATCAATTACATAAGCATTACATCATTAATTATTTAATTAACCAAAAAAATTACATCTTTATTAATAAAAAATTAATTCTTAACCAAAAAAAATTATATATAAACTAAACAAACGTACATTGCACGTTGCTTACACCTAGTAACACTTAAATACATAAATGAAAATGAATATTAATTAAATGAATAATCGAAAATTCATACATTAATGAAAATATATAGATAAAATGAATATGTCAAATGTACATGTACATTGATGGTAATTAAATGGTTAAATAAATTAAATATATATTGAAAAATAAAAAGTAATGCATTATTGAAATAATTGAATTAAAATAAAGTTAAAATCGTCCAAAAAATGATTCTTAATTGATATGGTATTTAATATATTATAGATTTATAAATTGTTCCCTAATCTTTTATTTTATATATATTCAAACTCATCATGGTGCTGCGATATTAGGCTCAAATAATCCTCCTTTCCTTGAAAATAAATAATATTTTTTTATAAGTGAAAAATAAATTCCTCATAAACACACCAAATTTTTTTTGGAAGAACATTGACTTACAAATCATATAAGCCAGACATGCTATCAGGTCGACATACACTCTTCAAAAATATATTTTTGTGCTACTTAGATTCTAATTTTTTTTTTTTAATATTTCCCTTATTGATTACATATCTGATTTTAATTTGTAAAATATTATGTTTCCTATTTCAATTGATTCTCAATGGTTCTTTGAAAATAATTAATCTACTTGTACAAAAGAGGTTGACAAAATTTGTGTGGCAAAATCTAGATCATTGATTTCAAAATTTATTTTTGAAATTATTAGCCTAGATCTTGTCAACGCATATTTTGTAAACCAATTTTGTCAACTTATTATGTACAAGTAGCATGACTCGATTTGAAAATTCAAGATTACTCTGGCCACTGTTCGGTATCAATTAAAATCTAAATTTTAGTTTAAATCTAAGTCAACAATTAATTTTAACCACATATTTTATGAATCCACAACTTTCAACCACACGTTTCTTTAAATTCTATCAAAATCTACTAAAAATCTAATTTTAATCCCTACAAAAAATTGGCTAAATATTAATAAATATTAAAAGTTTGGAAAAATGGGGAAAAAACCTGAATGTATGATAAAGAAGAGTATGATTAAGGCACATGAATTTTATTTCTTTATTTTTTATTGATCATGGTATTCGTCGAGGCGGAACAAATATATTTTCATTTGTTCATCAAGATAAGTCGTTCTCTACTTCTAAATTATAAAATCATGTCACATGTACATTATGATTGACAACAAGTTTGACACTCTTCTATATGGTTGCAATTTACACCGTTAATTTTTAACACATTCATCACATCACTGACCAAATTCCTTCCATTAAGGAGATGTTATTCTTGGTATCAACCAAAAATGTACATTTAGCTTAATTTTAAAACTGTATATTGTTTATTTTTGTCTTTAACAAAATATGTCAAATATAAATAAATCTTTACAAAAATATGCCAACCTGTTAACAGAATATTAAGAATGGCTCAGCACGAATTTCGGAGCGAAATAATCTCCCAACCATGAACCCATAATGGTGTCTTTCACGTTGATTCCTTGTTGCCATTTTCCTTTTGTTTCCCCCAAGAAAATAAAATAAAAAATCTTGAGGTTTTCACATTTTCAAATTGTTTGCCTTCCCAATATTGTTGGGAGAAGGGGTTTCGGGTTCGGATTAGTTTTCTTAAAGAAGAAGAAAGATCGATGCTGCAAAGAGCTGCAAATGATGCATGTTCATGGTGGTGGGCTAGCCACCTTAGGACAAAGCAATCAAAATGGCTCGAGCAAAGCCTTCAAGGTATGAGTTTTACGTGGATATCATTCTATGATCAAAATATATTTTGATATAGCAACGGAATGATGAAAAATGATTCATATAGTCGACTCTAAATTTATTAGGAAGAAGACATATTTTGCTGTTGTTGGTATTGTATTTTTTACTATTAGTTATTTCATTTTTTTGCCAAAAATTTGGAAATAAACCAAAAAAAGGATACCTAAAATATAAAGTTTTCCATGAAGGAGCAAAAATTTTGATAATAACAATAAATAATTGTTAAATTAAATTAATATGATTATCTCTAAAATTTGTACCTTCATTGGATTGAATAAATCTTATTTTTGTTATTTTCTGAAAGAAGAATGCAAGTCTTCAAAGTATACAGTAACCGCGTCACAACTACCAAAGTTGTCATTCTCTTAGATTATCTTCAATCGGTCTGTTTCATCTCATGTTGTTTGTGGACAAACTTTTATGTTGACTGCGACAAATTGACTTCGAAAAACTGGTTATATTTTCAAAACAAGCTTACCTAACAATTATGTTGCTAAATGCAGATATGGAATTGAAGGTGCAAGATGCGCTTAAGCTCATTGACGAGGACGGAGACTCCTTTGCCAGACGAGCCGAGATGTACTACAAGAAGCGGCCTGAGCTGATACAGTTTGTAGAAGAATCTTTTCGTGCCTTTCGAGCCTTGGCCGAACGATATGACCACCTATCTAAAGATCTGCAAAATGCCAACCATACAATTGGTACTGTTTGTCCAGAAAAGCTTCAATTTGCAATGGACGAGGACGATGAATGTGGTAGCCCTGGATTTCGTAGGACTTCTGATGTTCCTAAGCTTGACAGGACCGCGATTAAATATTTGAAACATCTGAAAACAACTAGTTCAGAGCAATTGCAAGCCGATAAGTACTCAAAAGCGGTAGAGAGTGATGAAATCGTTGAAAAATCCGGTTTGAGTAAAAGCGAAGCTCTTGAACAGATGGACAAGCTTCAGAAAGAAATTCTCGTGCTGCATACTGTTAAAGAGTTTGCAAAGACCTCTTACAAAAGTGGGATAGCGAAATATTGGGGAATCGAGAATCAGATGATGGAAATGCAGCAAAAACTCTGCAAGTTACAAGATGAATTTAACGTGGAAACAGTTGTTAAGGATGCTGAGGCTCGAACTTTAATGGCTGAAACCGCATTGAAATCCTGTTTAGAAACCTTGGTTCATTTGCAGGAGAAACAAGAACGATATAGCCAAGAAGCGAGAGAGGAATACAAGAAGATTGAGGATGCCAATGGTCGACTGAAGTCCCTCAGGCACGAATATCTTAATGATGAAACTGATAAAAAGGGGCCAACTGAGAGTGATATAACAGAAACAGTGGAGCAGGTTCTAGAAAGCTCGAATAAAGAAGTGGATGATGTGATTGAGGAAATAAGGGACAAAAAAGAACCAGGCTCCTCTGAATCTCTCGATGTGATGGAATTGACTGAGAAAATTGATGAGCTTGTCAATAAGGTGATCAGCATAGAATCTGGAATGTCATCTCGGACTGTTCTTATTAATAGGTTAAGAACAGAAGCTGATGATCTCCATGCGCAGATTCGGGATTTGGAAAATGAAAAGGGGACTCTGATTAATGGAACGCACGACAGGAGTAGCAGGGTGAAAGAATTGGAGGAAAAATTGCACACGCTTCAGGAGCTAAACAAAGATGTGGAATATCAAAACAACAATCTCCATACGAACTTTGTTGAACCTCGTTCGAGTCTTGATCACTTATCTGAAAAACTGACTAGTGTTAAGCCAGACGAAGTGCGGGAAGTTACTGACTCATTGCAAGATAACGGGGGGGCTGTTGTTGAAGCCGAGTGGCAAGATGTTCCAAGTCCTGGTCACGCTTATAAAAACCTTGGTGCTTCGAAAACTGAAGATGGAGAGAAAGTGAATGATGGGGATATAATGGATCAGGGTCAGGAGGCATCTGTTGATAATCGACAAACTGAAGGTATAAAGGTGACTAAAAAAACTGTCACGTTTTTGGACCCAAAACCAAAGGAAAAAAATTCCGAGGACCAAAGAGGGAATGAGCTTCTCAACAATGAATCACTAGGCGATGAAGAGAAAAAGGAAGAGCTAAACTGGCAGTTGATGCTCTTGAATGGACTAGAGGACAGAGAGAAGATTCTGCTAACAGAATACACTGCAATTCTAAGGAACTACAAAGATGTGAGGCGGAAACTTAGTGACAAGGAGAAGAAAGAAAAGGATGCGCAATTTGAGACGACAGTGCAAATGAGAGGAATGAAGAGTGCTATTGCTAAGAGGGATGCAGAAATTCGACAATTATGCCAAAAATTGAACCGTCTTCAAGGAAAATTGTGTGAACATAATGATTTTGAATTGAGCGATGATGCCAATCTTCCCATCACAAATGAAGAAGATAAAATCAAGTTCGTCTTCATTGATAAAGATCCCGCTATTTCAGTTTTTGAGGAAAAACTCCAAAGGGATATTGATGCAATACGAGCCGAAAACTTGGACTTCTGGTTAAGATTAAGCTCTGCATTTCAGCAAATCAAGAAATTCAAGACTGAATTCCAAGGTTTACGAGATGAAGCAGCAAGACTTAATGAGAAAAAGAAACAAGAAGGAAGCATTAAACCGGACCTAAAACCAGACTGCCGACTAATATACAAGCACATGAGAGAGATACAGCTGGTACTAACAGGTTGGGTGGAGGAAAACGTGTCCGTAAAAACTGAACTAAACCGAAGATTTGAATCTTTATGTCATGTTGAAGAGGAAATCAAAAAGGCTTTCGAGGGTTCTGAAGAAGACGAAATTATATTAAGAAGTTATCAAGCTGCAAAGTTTCAAGGTCAGATTTTGAATATGAAACAAGAATACAAGAAGATCGAAAAAGAACTTCAAGAAGGTTTCGATTATGTGACTGCATTACAAGGTGAAAGTGAAACCACACTTCGGAAGTTGAACGATGAATTTTGTATTTCAGGTGATCAACAACAACCGAGACATTCTGTGAATCGGCCTCGAGTTCCATTACGAGTTTTTATGTTTGGAACTAAACCAAAGAAGTATAGGCATTCTATTTTCTCCTGTATAAGGCCTAACAGAAAATTCCAGGCCCTGATAGGAGGCATATCTACGAAAAGTTACTAATTCTTACTGTTTTTCTTGCGATTTTTTTATAAAGAAATATCTTATTCTTGTTCAGAATTTCGTATTTGTGAGTACCAATAGAAACAGCAAGATAAGTTAATGAAAAAATTATAACGGTCTACATTATTTAAAAACTCTAGTTCTTTATATACTTAAATCTAATGAATTAATAGCAATATAATTACAATAATGAAATAAATAAGAACACAAGATTTATGTGAAAACCAGGGTGGGAAAAACCAATATGCAGAGGAGGAGAATTTCACTATAATAAACAATGAATGTGTTTACAACAAGATTTCAATTCTTTCAATTGTGATCTAAAACTCTCAAGATATTGTATGAATATTATAGCAACAATACAAGTCGTGAAGTATATATATAAGTCCTAAAATCCAAGTTTTAGATGAATATGAGTCCACAAAATGAGTCAAAACTCGAAACGGGCCTTGGTCGGTGAATCTCGCCGCTCGAGTGCTAGGCTAGCACTAAGTCTCGGGATTTGAAGGCGCTGCTTCAGTGACAGGCTGGCGAAAATGCAACTACTTTTCTTTTCAGTCCATAATTTTGATCTTTTCAATACCACTTCAACCAAAACTCTAATACCCACTAGAATTTAGGTCAAATTACAACATGAAGATTTCTATCAAAATAGAAAGTTAGCAAAATAGCAAAAAAGAAAATACTATCTTAAGATGAACAATACGTAAATAGATTAAATTAAAATAAATCCCAGTCTCTTCTCATCTCTAAGCCTTTAAAAAAAGTGCTTGGAATTAAATTATTGTTGCGATCTAGATCATCTTATGCTGAAAAGAACCAAACTTCGGCAAATTAAGTTCCCAATGTTGTTCCTCCAAAATATGATTGAAGGCTTTGAAACTCCCTGTTAAAAACCAGGCCAAATAATAAAGACAATAATAATATGAGCAATATAAAAATAATGTATCACACAACAACCAAGATTTTGTGGAAGAAATGAATGATTTATTATACCAAAAAACTAAAATTGTCTTTACAATATTTAATTATCTCAATCTAAATCTAAACAATATTCTCAAGTTTCTAATGTATACAATAATGATCTAATTGATGTTTTGAGTCTTTGAGGAGCCTACACCTTATGGAGAATTTGTAGCAGCCAATTCTTGGAGTTTTGAATAAAGTAGAACATAAAAATCGCTTCAGAAATCAACAAGGTGACGTTTCACTGGTGGCGTCGCAGCGCTGACTTTCTGGTTTTTTTTTTGGCTCCCGGTGCTTAAGTGCCCATCTCGGTCCCAATGTGTCCAAAACACTTCCTAATTCATTCCAAAATCCTTATCCCAATCAAACCAGACTTCCAAACCAATACTAGATAGGCTTTTCCCATGAATCAAACTTCCAAATCACATGGAGTTTGAGTCACAAACATAACAAACTTCAAGTTATTCTCCAACTCTTTCATAATGCCCCTTCTAAGCACACAATCCCTTTATCGGGCATACTCAGCAATTGTGAACTAAATCCAAGTTCTGCTTACCAACAGAACTACCTTTGCGTGTCAACATTGCTTGAATCATCTCATTCACTTCCAACTTCAGTTGAATCACCAAACCTACTCGAATCACCATGCGCACTTCCCAACTCCACCTGAGTTGTTAAACTTGCTCGAATCACCACGAGCAACATGATCGATAAGATCACAACTAGCTACACTTGAACTACAGGAAGATCTCCAATATTATTGTTCGAACCACCACGAACAATCCGATCATAATAGACTCCACCCAAGTCACCGTTTATCAAACCATAACCTGTAGCTGCATCCACAATGAGCCAAACCTTCTAACACACATAACTAGGACTTTCTCCTCCCCTTAACACAACCTCAGCACCCTTGCTAATTTTCAAAACTCCACCTCCACTAGTATACTTGTATTTTTTTGAATCAAGAGTACTCAAAGAGATTAAATTCATGCCTATACCCAGAACATGTCGAACCTAGTAAAGTGTTCTAACCGTCCATCAAAGATCTTGATTTTGACATTACCATCCCAGTTATTTTACAAAGCTCATTATTTTCCATTATCCTGGGACCACTTGTAACTGCTTCATATAAGAAAAATCAATTCCGGTTTGAACACATATGAAAAATACAAGTTGAATCAAGAATCCAATCCTCATCATATTTGGAGTCACCATCAGTAACTGCCAAAAGATTTCTATTATTGTCTTCTTCTGCAAGATTGATATCAAGGTTGGGAATCAGCATAAACAAATTGATTTCGGTATAACATGTATATAAAAAAAAGTTCACATGTCACCAAATTAATTTTGATACTTGATTATATTTATAAAAAACTATTACATTTTAACTAATTCACTTTAATTTAAGAGAATCATGTTGATAACGTATTATAAATTAGAGAGAAAAAGAGAGAATAAAAGTCAATAGACTTGTGTGTATTATAATGAGAACCAAAATTTCATGTTTATAGGGAAATATTATAGATACAATAATAATAATTTCTAGGGTTGGAGGGATAAAATTGCCATTCACGAATAAAATTACCATTTATAGTAATAATCATATTAATTTTATAAATATTTAGTTGCAAAGGCCAATTATCTGTCTAAGGAAAGAAGAGCTATTAAAAAATAAAGGGAAAATTGAGGCCGTGGTCCCAAACCTTTCATTTTGTTGCAGATTACACCCAAACATTTTATTTTTGCGGCCGAAGTCCCAAACCTTTATATGTAGTTGCAGCGTCGGTCCCAAGCC